GTTTTTACCTAAACCACGCCAGGTGAGCAGTAGGGAAATGAGTTTAAACAGAGTTTTTACCTAAAACCACGCCAGGTGAGCAGTAGGGAAATGGGTTTAATCAGAGTTTTTACCTGAAACTCGTAGATATTTAGTTTGGTTTGATTTCTGTTAAACACAGATAGCCCATTGCTAACCACAGGTATCGAAACCGATTTTTTAGAGTCATAAGCTTGCTGAGCCACTGGGGGAAGTGGGCGCGTCTAAAGAAGAAAACGAAGGAGAGTCCCCAATAGTCAATAACGAAATAATTGCGATCTAAAGATAGAGATTTCATTGTCGTTTATAGAAAACAACATTTTCAATAGAATACTTACTTAATATATGCCATATATCATACTTCACGTTTTAAAAGACTCGTCTGTCGTTTTTTCTTTTCTCGTGTGGATAATTATTCTGTCATGCAATAAAATGCAAATTCCTATGTGAATGTTTGAATGAATTTCTTCCCATACGTTTCTAAGTTTCACTAAAAGAGGCAAAAAAAATAAAATAAAGAAATAAAATAAATTTTTCAATACTACGAATTACTAATAGGATCCCAGTCTATCTATACATAAAATATTTTTCACTATTGAATTTTTTTTTCTAACAAAAGCTGGAAAAGAAAGAGAGAAGAAGAAGAAGAAAAAAATCCCGGAAGGTGAAGATATCTTAAGTACGGTTGCTTTGGAACTGAGATATCATAAATAATTTTAAATTCCTAAAGAAACTTTTATCCAGCCTTTGTATGGTTGAAAAAGTTTTATAACTCAACTCGAGAACGACCTAAAGCATCGACGTTTTTACAAGGCAATGGAGTTAGAGGTAAAGTTTGAGTCACTGAGCACGTGTTACTTCAGTGATGTTACTCCGTCGACGAATGTGCAAATTTTGGAAGAACCCCCTGTCGTAAATGTCGTCTTTAATGCTGCAAATATTTGAATTTGAAAAGCTTTTACAGTAGTTGTTTTCTTTCTTTGGACATTAACGACACGACATCGCCTGGTCACGAGGGTTCTAAATGTACATATATATAGATTTATGTAGAAAAAAAAAATCTTTTGTGTTCATTTGATGAAAGACGACTGAACCTTTTTCAGTAACCTTTCGACTCCTCCATGGCTTCCAGTGTGCAAAAGGTTTGCAGTTAATGTTTTCCTGTCACTTGGATTGAAGTTTTAAAACGTATTTTATACGGAACCCCCAGTAACAAACGAAGTAAAAGAAACCGTAATGTTACAACCGAGGATCACATTAACTTGATTAAAGGAGGAAGTACTGAAACTTGCACGGGAGGAAAAAAAAAAAAAAGTCTGATTGAATTGCAATTTCTGGTTGACGTGGGTAAATCTGAAAAACTGATCTCATGCCAGATGTAGAGTTTTATGTTATGATTTGACTTACAGGTAAATATTTCTAAGTGGTAATATTGTAATATTTCTAATTGGTTGGTGTCCATTGTTCGTTGAGTAAAAGAACAAAATACAATCATTCAAACAAATTATCTTGCAAACGGACATTAGTGAAAGTCCAGTGTATTCATAGTGTTTTTTTTCTTTTAGTCAAACTCCACAATGGTTTACCTGCCCCATGCCCACTGCAGAAATAAAACGTCACATGTCCGCATTGAACCTCCAAGGTGGTACAGAGTGAACGGACACAGCCCTTGAGGACCCTGAAGATAAATGTTCTCGAAATTTGTGTCATTCTATTAAACTGAATTCTTTTGTATATCGGAGGCATTAGGATGTTAAAAACAGGCCGCAGATATTACACAATAGGAACTAGAAAAACGTTACACACGTAAAATTAGCCAATTTATACTTCTATTGTGAAAATAGACGCTCCGACCGTTATCCTTTTATCTGGATTCGATTTTGTGGCCATTGTTAGGTCAGTATCAATATTACAACAGGAATCAAATATTGAATAATAATACAGCATAGATGACGAGTACGTCTGTTGGTTTACGACGCTTAGAAGCGTCGGGTTCGATACCCCTGGTAGGCAGAACAAAGTTGTGCCTAACAACTACCAAACCAAACTAATTGATATTGAATGTAATGTCTCTTGGACAACTGCTCGTGGGAGACAAAGATGGATCTGAAACTTTACTTTTACACGTCTCTAATTTTCGATCCGAAATATACAATTTAAGGGGAATGTGGGAGGGAGGAGGATCGACATTTTACGTGATTTTATTACACATTTTTGGCCTAATGAAAGATAGGTAAATTGATAATTCATAACAATATTGTGGTAACAAAACACTGTTGAGCACGTCATATGAATAAGCAGTTAAGACAGAAAAATTAGGCCCGGTATGGCCAGGTGGTTAGGGCGCTCGACTAGCAATCTGCGGGTCGCGGGTTCGAATCCTGATCCCACCTTCATGGGCTCTCTGTGCTGTGCCCACCAGGGGTATAAGCGTTTACATTTACCGCCGGCCCGGCATGGCCAGGTGGTTAGGGCGTTAGACTAGCAATCTGAGGGTTGACGGGTTCGAATCCACGTCCCACCAAACATGCCCTTTCAGCCTTGGGGGCGTTATAATGTGACGGTCAATCCCATATTCGTTGGTAAAAGAGCAACCCAAGAGTAGGCGGTGGGTGGTGATGACTAGCTGCCTTCCCTCTAGTCTTTCACTGCTAAATTAGGGACGAATTGCGCAGATAGCTCTCGGGTAGCTTTGCGAGAAATTCAAAAACGAAACAAACCAAAACAGTTATTTAATTGGATACTCAACGTTTCGCTTTACAGATTCTTCTGGAGCGTTTCGCTAAAACACATATCGTAACTGACAGTACAAAGTACCTTGTGGTATCAAGTATTTTGTGTCGCTAAAGGTCGTCACAGACCGAAACATTTTTATGTGGTACGAGTTTTTCTCCTCCTTTTGTTATCGCGTTATTAACAAAATGAAATAGGCCTTTAGCAGAAACGTTAACATTTTAAATATCATATACCTTTAACGAGTGTTGAATCCGGCTATCTTTAATACTCTTAATATTGGAAATATTAGTTAGTAGCTTAAACCTCAGCGGTTTCGAGTCAGTTTGTAATTATATAAAAAATATGAAATCTATAGATCAACACCCTTTGTGAAAATGTTATAATTTCGGGCATAGCTTCCCTACGACCAAATATTGATTACAATCTAACTTGTTCGATATATATATATATCGATTTATCAGTTCTGAGAGATTGAATGTAAATATATTGTGTGTTATTAATCAGAAATGTCCAGTGAAGCTGAAGACGAATTTATAATAACATATCAACCACACTGTATTTCCTATATTCAGAGCCGATGAGACGTTTCCCCCAATATCAGAGCTTCTCACTAGGATACGACAGACATATTAATGGTTCAAAGGCTATTTATATTAGTAAATTAATTGACATCAAGTGTTATGGTGTGAACCGGATTAACTTGGTTATATTAGTAAATTAATTGACATCAAGTGTTATGGTGTGAACCGGATTAACTTGGTTATATTAGTAAATTAATTGACATCAAGTGTTATGGTGTGAACCGGATTAATTTGATTATATTAGTAAATCAATTGACATCAACTGTTATGGTGTGAACCGGATTAATTTGGTTATATTAGTAAATTAATTGATATCAAATGTTATGCTGTGAACCGGATTAATTTGGTCAAATGTAATTTGTTATCAATTTTTATTTATGTCACAACACATCAGAATTATGATAAGGATTAATTAACACTATATTATTATTGAACACCATATCGTTTTCTTAAATGAATCTACTCATTTTCTCTCTACCAATGACGACCAAAAAAAAATATTTTATGCCTAAAGCTTTATTCGATATTTCATTTCAAATTAATTACAAAAAACTCATCATCCAGTTAACTTTTCTTAAAATGTGACAATAGTCAATACAGATTGAATAGCAGATGAAATATTGGATATTAGCCGAATGTCCATTGATGCAAAAAGTTTAGGAACGTATAAGATCCATTGAAGGAGGACATAAATTAGTGAATCCACGTGAGACAGTTTATTGTAGCTTAAAGCACACTATTAGAGCTATAACATAGAAACCATTTACTCATTATACCAAAATATGTATATATCAAATTAACGAAACAGAAGGTTTGACTATCATGTTGTTTAGTAACATTTCTGGAAACGAAATAAGAAATATTACTTCTTCAAACTTTGTTCAACCATTTTTTCAATCTTAAAATCGCCATGACAGGCCTCATGACGTCACCTGACGCCTTACGGAGGAACTTGGAAATGTTTTCGGATGGAAAAAAAATCTGCTCGAACAAGATTCTACGACTACTAATTCACTCCCATTCACACCAGTATTTTAGGAACGTTTGTTACAGTCATACCTAAACAAGCTATTCACTCCCATTTACACCCGTATTTTAGGAACGTTTGTTACAGTCATATCTTAACAAGCTATTCACTCCCATTCACACCCGTATTTTAGGAACGTTTGTTACAGTTATACCGAAGCAAGCAACATTAATTGACTGTCGTGGAAAAAAAAAAATAAACGTACAGTTAAATTAAAAAAAAAAACAGTGTTCGATCATAGAAAAAAATCAAAATCCACGTTTCGTAGGGACATTTTCTTTCAGGTCAGATGTCTTATGGGAAACACAGAAGCTCTCTAGTTAAACGCTTAACGAATTCGAGAGTAGAATACGTTTTCAAATATATATATATATATACGTCCACACACACTCACATACATATATATATATATATAGGAACTTCGAATGCAATTTGAGGTAGAGGGAAAAAAAGAGCTCCAAATTCAAAGACCTCGACCAACTTTCAAACATGTTTTTTTTTTTCGTTCTTGGCAAGTAACTCAATATGTTACTCATTCTAAGTCGAATCTGTTCTTTGACGCTCACTCAATATAATGACGTCGTCTGAGCATCTATTGTGTCCTGAACATTTCCTTCAGAAGAAGTATAACTCCTGAATCGATCAGTTCATCCTTTTGAAGCTTACTACGATATTCTTACCGTTAGAAATTTGGAACTCAAAGTAAAAATTAAATGCCCTTTCCATATTCTTTCCAATTTCAGTGATTGATATTCCGAGTGTGAATTACACTTGCTTTAGTCGTGAAATCAGTCCGTGAGTTTACGGACTTACAACGCCAATATCTGGGGTTCGATTCCCCACGGTGAACACAGCAGATAGCCGAATGTGGCTTTGCTCTAAAACAAACAAACAAAATAATCATACAGCAATTATCTTAGAACCACCAAATTTGGTATTAAACTTAAACCAGGATCCAATATATCGTTTCGTATTACCTTCGATGTGTTGAAATGTAACAAACTCTGAGGAAAAAAATATTCTAAATGATTAAAATTTACGAATGGTACAAAACATAGAAACATATTAGAAGAATAACAAACAAACTTTTAAAACTATTTTTAATGAACTGAATTCATTTCCTAAGCCTATTCAGTTTTCAACGTTTCGTTTGGACATTTTCATATGAGTAGTGTTATAATATGACCAATTTATCATATTTGCTTCAGAATACAAGAAATTATTTTCAGAACAGAATTCATTCATCGGGTAAGAAAAACTTCACAGAAAACTCAGTTAAAGAATTAACTACAAAGCGTTTGAGGGTTAAACAAACACACACACACAACACACACAATACAGTTTTCTCGTATTTTTTGTTTGTTTTTGTTTTGTGGGGATATCAAGATCTCTATAACAAACATTCATGTTGTGAAAAACATGACAAGTGAACATTCGAAAACACAGAACGTTACAATGCTTGCTTATAACAGAAAATCACATTTTGAAATAATTCGCATCTGGTTTTCGGCGTACTTAATGCACAAATGAAGTGAACCTTTATCCCGGGTTGTTGTTTTTTTTAACTTTTCATTTATTCGAAGTTCTTAATTTTTATTATAACGCTACTCAAAGATTATTTTAGATTAAACTATCATATAACAGAACAAACTTTACTTTAGAACAAGAATCACACAAAACAAACACATTTCTTAGTCCAGTCAACATTTAGAATGTTTTAATTACACTCTAAAACTGTGTAACATGTATAACAGATATTACTGCTTTCGTTTCGCATTTAAAATAACAATAAAATGGTGCGGTCTTCCTTCAAACGCAGAGAAAATATTTCGTCCATGTAGCAAAAATAACAGGGCAACATACGAATTGAACACTTATTTCACTAACAAGAAGATGAACTAACGCTTTTTTGTAACATTTTCTCAAAAACAGAACAACAAACATAACTAAAAAAAGTTATCTGACACACATTATTTATATATATATATATATTTTTTTTTCTATCGTAAAACTTTTATTTTTACTTTCGAAACGTTTAGGCTTAAGGTGATAGGAACTCGCTTACGCCCTTTCTAGGGCAATTAACATAATAAATATTTAGTTTGTAAAAGTGAGCACGAGAAAGATATGAAATTAACAGCACTAAGTTGAAGTCATACCAACACGAGATTTAGCTCATCCAAAAAATATATCGGAAAGTTCTCGAGTTAAGATATAGCCTTTGTCTTAGTATAATAACCCACGCTTGACCAGTATAATAACCCACGCTTGACCAAAGATGCTGCAAGGAATCTTACACAAATAGTAATTCTAAACATCATCTTCACAAAAAAAAAGCCCTTCCCATATTCATTTGTGTATATACACGAACAATCTGCCTCAGAATGTCGTCTTCGGTAACTTGCAGCGCATTTTCTCGACATGATAGTTGTAAGTAAACGCCCTCTCGCGGCGGCCTTAACAATTTACTTCCCAATAAAACAAAATCAACAACAACAACAAAAAAAAACATACAATCACGTGGCAGTGAGCAACAACTTGCAATCTGCAGACCAAATTAAATTTCAAAAGTCATGTCTTTTTATCAATGAAACAAAATATTAAAAGCATTACAGTTACCATTTAATTACCCTGGAAATGAAAAACCAATACGTCCGCGTCTTTCCAAAGAACTGACACATTCCTTTAGCTAAACAGAAATAATTCATACCTAAAATTTTCATCAGTTATTTCCAGAATCGTTGCCACTTATAGCGGCATCAGGAAATATTCTAAAACGTACAGCAAGGATGATTATAACAAACGACACCAACAGAGAACGTTTTGTATACAATTATCGCTTCTACTACACCAGTCAGCATTGAAATATTCGGGTATATATATATATATATGCTTCGTGCAAAAGTAGTTTATCTTAAGAAATCACAAACAAAAGGAATGATAAAATTTATATTATTTTTTGATAAAAATCCAGGAACTTTTTCACACCCGCATCGTCTTTATATTCAGGATTAGACGACTTCCGTTTACAGGAACGAGAGTTACAAAGCATTACATATAATTCTTTGTATGTTGTTTTTCCAACAATGACGAACACGTACACTTATTACACAACTACTATTATATCAAAAACGTCTCTAACCATTCTTTTAAACAATTATTACCTTTTGTTTTTCACATTTTCCTTTTCATATTTCACGAACTTATAATGTAGAGTCCATTTTCTTATTGTAGTTCATATATATAAGAGAATATTTTTTCCAAAGGTTTTTCGACTTAGAAATCCATTGGTTTCTATCATTATTCAAATACTATTTTCATTCTGTTGCTGTTGTTGTTGTTTTTGGAGAATAGAATTTTTTCGAAATCAGCATGACTGGATTTAAAAAAAAAAACGATTTTTAATAAGCATTAAGTATAGATTGTTCTCTCATCAAAAGAAGCAAAAACCACGTTTCACTGACCAAATCCGGTCAAGGAAAGTATATCATGTGTCTTTTCTTGTACCAGTGCAAAAACCACGTTTCACTGACCAAATCCGGCCAAGGAAAGTATTTCATGTGTCTTTTCTTGTACCAGTGCAAAAACCACGTTTCGCTGACCAAATCCGGACAAGGAAAGTATTTCATGTGTCTTTTTTTGTACCAGTGCAAAAACCACGTTTCACTGACCAAATCCGGACAAGGAAAGTATATCATGTGTCTTTTCTTGTACCAGTATGGGCGTAATGTTTTATTTAGCCTCAGATGATGGACGTAATTTCCAGTCGACGAACACAAACTTATTTATTGCCTAAAGAAGTTTAACGTCTGTGTTTGCAATCGAATCTCCCGAGTAGCACATTCCAGTTTTAGACGTTAAAGATAAGTGACCAGAAGCCGAAATATCCATTCCGTTGCCCATCATCATATTCTCAAGCCCGAGGGCAAAGTTCAAGGAGGAGTCTAGATCCTGTCTAAAGTCCGTTTGAGCTCCAGAGAAAAGAAATGGATTAGACATATCTGGAATTCCATTTATAGTATCATGAAATGACATTCCGGGCAAGGTGTTTCCCACTTGTGATTGGGATGTCATAGGCGGCGCTGCAGGAGGATGTAATCCTGTTGGAAGATGACCCGATGACGTCATGGAGCAAGACGACAAATGATTGGTGTTCACCGATGTAGCCAAACCAGGGTATAATGTTGAAGCGCATGAAGCGGGCAACATGGATGCTGCATTAAAATTTGCTTGTGGAATAGATGGCATTACTTGTGCACCTGGTATTTGATTTTGCAGAGCGAGATTTATGTCATTTGAATGATTTGTAAACACCATCCCACGTTGTAACTTTTGAACTCTCTTCGTGTGCCGGTCCATATCGGCGTGAAATTTAAAATCCAAAACACTCGTAAAACGTTCTCTGCACACCTTACATTCAAAGTATATCTGTACTAGCTTCAACACGGCCCTATCTTCTTCCTTGATGTGAGCGAAACATGATGCCCTCTGGTGATTTATACATAGAAGCTCAGCTGGATAAACCATTTGGCATTTCTTACATACGAATCCAATATCTATGTCCACCTCGTTCAACTGCTGAACATCAGCCTCCTGAATAGATCCCTTAAAATCACTAATATTTTTGCCATCCTGAGAGAAGCGAGTTGTACTGTGCCCCAGTTGACACAGTTTCTGGGTAACGTCTAAAACTGCCGCTGGAGGGAGCTGCAGGAGTGAGAGAGGAGTACTGTATATACTGGAATCTTGGAACAAGTTCTTCATGGTTGAACACCCTGTAGAACAATAAAACACATGATTCATACACACACACATAGGAAAATTATTTTACAGTTTCTAAAATGAAAGTTAAAATAACTTTGAACGAAATAACTAGATTTCTTTATTCACTAAAAAATTCAACTACCTTTAAATAACGGATGCCATTAAGATCATTTAGCATACATAATAACACCCAGTTTATTGTTTTATAGCATAATATTCCAAAGTACTCAAATACGAAGGAGTGGATGTTATATGGTTAACATGAAACAATGAATTATGTTTGTTTGAAGTTCAGCACAAAGCTACACAATGGGCTATCTGTGCTGTGCTAACCACGGGTATCGAAACCCGGTTTATTAGTCTTCAGAATTACCGTTGTACCACTGAGAAGGACACTTTTTTTTAATGCAAAACTGAATAATTAAAGTGTGTCATAAGATGCACAATTACAAGAATATCGTCATGAACCACACGGCCAGTGAACCACACCAAGGACACGTGTGTTCTCTAACAATTTGTAATTTCAAATCGATATCTGTTTTAAAGAGAAAGTCATAATTGATATAAAAAAAACAACACAAAAAAACAAGGCCCATATGACTAAAGCAAGTTTCTCACTATACGATGACCATGATTCACTTTTAAGTGCCTTTAAATATTCAAACGTTCACAAAAATGAAAGATCATGAATTTTGTGTATCGTGTGGTAGAACTGCTATGTGTATTTTGTTGATTTGTGTATCGTGTGGGAGAGCTGCTATGTGTACTTCGTTAATTTGTGTATCGTGTGAGAGAGCTGCTATGTGTACTTTGTTGATTTGTGTATCGTGTGAGAGAGCTGCTATGCGTACTTTGTTAATTTGTGTATCGTGTGGGAGAACTGCTATATGTACTTTGTTGATTTGTGTATCGTGTGGGAGAGCTGCTATGTGTACTTTGTTAATTTGTGTATCGTGTGAGAGAGCTGCTATGTGTACTTTGTTGATTTGTGTATCGTGTGGGAGAGCTGCTGTGTGTACTTTGTTGATTTGTGTATCGTGTGAGAGAGTTGCTATGTGTACTTTGTTACTTTGTGTATCGTGTGGGAGAGCTGCTGTGTGTACTTTGTTGATTTGTGTATCGTGTGAGAGAGTTGCTATGTGTACTTTGTTGATTTGTGTATCGTGTGGGAGAGCTGCTATGTGTACTTTGTTGATTTGTGTATCGTGTGAGAGAGCTGCTATGTGTACTTTGTTGATTTGTGTATCGTGTGAGAGAGCTGCTATGTGTACTTTGTTGTACACAAATATTTCGCATTGCAGGAGCTGTTTTATATTTTTACCAAACAGAACCAAAATTTTTTCATGTTTTAAATTTTTACCACACAAAACAGCACGTTTTCATGTATTCATCTGGTAGAGCTCATTGTAAGCTCGTGAAATTGAAAAAGAATAAAAAAATCGCTCAAAAATCTGCATACGTGGAGAAGGTGTGTGTAAAACAGGCGGATAAATACATAATAATGCAAACATGAATCCTGCTGGAAACAACTAGAAAGTACGGTACAATACTTCCAAATACTACAGATGGTCTTCGTGCGTGCCTGTGTGTCCGTGGTGACCACTCATCGTCTCTGTAAATTAGGGGTTTTCTCCTCCTACATTGTTCAAGACCAGCATGCTGTCACCCTCTTCTGGGCATCTGACACAGAAAAATGACCACCTACCTAAATATACCTGCTTGTTTATAGTCTTTCGAAGATAGAATGCTATGCCAAATGAGGGCCTAGTATGTCACATAAATCTTGTCTTCTGTCTCTCTTACTGTCCTTTTTTTTTATACCATTTTGGAGCAAGGTTTTTCTCATTCTACTCTTTAATGCTGGAAAACAAATATTTAAGATTTCGTTCAAGGGTTTTAAATTTCAACTTTTCTTTCCATGCTACAGGGTTATATCTTTACTTATCAACCTCTACCTTTACTATTACAGGGTTGTCAATAATGGAAAAACAGAAGAAAGATTTAAACGTAACATTTAAGAAAGGACACAAAGCATGAGATACTAGATCGTTTGTTAAAAATATTACACCTTTCTCTCACCCGTACATCAGAATGAAACATTTAACCCTACTCTAATGGCAGTATGGTGAAAACTAATGTTGCCTACTCCATATGACAGGCAATAAAAATACTTGCATTATGTTACATTCCGTTTTAAATCTTGAAGTTGTTACACTTCTATAGAAGAACAGTGTTTATAGGTACTTGATAACTGTAGATAACACATAATGTTGATTTGTACTTATTGACAAAGAAATAACAAAAATAAAATCTAAGGCTTCAACCTTGGAATTTCTTGCTCCATTGACTCAGCGTTAAGTCTGAAAGGTTATAAACACTAAGAACTGGGTTTCGATACCCGTCGTGGCCACAGCACAGATAGCCCATTGTATGTATAGCTTTGTGCTTAACAACAAACTACCATAAAAGTGTAATAAGTTATATGTCAACACATTCGATATATATTCTTATCAGCTCAACGAAAAATTAATTCAAAAGTAGCTTAATGGAAACAATACAATGACGAAAAAAAAACATGTAAAATGGACTATATGTCCCATGCTTTACTGATGATCACGTGATTTAAATCCGGGCCCGATGACTTTAAACTCTGAATCTTACATTCTATGGTGGCCAGGTGGTTAGGGCACTCGACTCGCAATCTGTGGGTCGCGAGTTCGAATCCCCGTCCCACTAAACAGGCTCGCCCTTTCAGCCGTGGGGGCGTTATAATGTGACGGTCAATCCCACTATTCGTTGGTAAAAGAGTAGCCCAAGAGTTGGCGGTGGGTGGTTTTTGACTAGCTCTCTTCCCTTTAGTCTATCACTGCTAAATTAGGGACAGTTAGCGCCCTCGAGTAGTTTGGCGCGAAATTCACATTTATAATCCAGAAGACTGTGGCAATATGAAGCACGAAAACTTACGAGTTTGTTCACAATAAAATTTCGCGTAATGCCGCATGGAGTGCAATTCGCGCTTAGCCTCTCGTGATTTTGAGCGGATAGGTTATATGGAAGGCAGCTAGTCAACTCTTGTCTAACAGCATAGTTACTCTTACGGAGAATCCACAGTCTCAGTGTGCGGAGTTTCTTTATGCAGAAACGATTGGTTGGTTGGTTGTTTGGTGTTTTATGGCGCAAAAAAAACTAGGCTACCTACGCCAAACAACCGGTAAAAACAGTAAAAGTAAATTGTAGTAAAATGTAAAAAATAAAGTGAGTTAAAACCAAAATATGTCCAGATAACAGATAAAAAAATTAAATAGAATTAAAAAAAGAACAACTGTATTTAAAATACAATCAAGTTGGACAGTGTCACCATCACCAACGACTCCGTCCAACATCAGGGGGTAAACCGTTACAAAAATGGTGCCTCCGTTCACGGTCCTAATGCAGAAACGGAATGCGGTCAGAGATAATGTGGATTCACAGTCTGAGCACGATAATATTTGACCACACCCGGCCCCAAAACGAACGATGAAAACGGTATGAATA